TTTTTTTGGTGAAGGCTCACTATACTAGGTGTTTGAGTACTTCTTCTGTCTTCCAGCATCAGGATTCAGTATTGCAAATATATAAGGCTGCCACCTGGTGCTCTGCTCATAATTTCCCCAAATTTCACCATGTGGACATTTAGTCATCTACAGCTGTTAGCTTTGGCAAGAAGGTCATGTAGGCTAGCCACTGACTTTTGGGCCCCTTCTGTTATAGTTCCCTGTTGTGGTTTGTTTTGTTTTTTACAGGCTTGTTTGCATTGTTACGAACTCTTCTGTTGGACTGCTTTTGGATGTCCCGTCCCTTCAAGAATCAACTCCCTTTATCCTGTGATGTAGTGAAGGTGGGAAGGGTTATACAGGGCCGTCCAAACAGCTTTGATTAGTCAGTATCCAGTCAACTGGAAGTAGCTACATAACCCATCCATTCAAGAACTAATTCCATGTGTTCTGTGATGTACTCCCAAGAAATTGATTGTACAGCAAGACAAAATGCTGCCTGGTTTATGTTGCAAAATGCATGACAATACATCTGGTGGAAGTAAGCCACAATACCTAACCCCCTTAACTGTAAAACTGTAGCTTTAACCCCTTAACTCTTGGCTTTTAACTCATCCTCTAATATCTACAGGAATACACTTACCTTGTGCAGCTCTTGAGCATTCTGCACCTTAAGCTTCATATAGGGGTTACTCTGGGTGAACAATTCATGAGAGTTACAAGATCAGTATTAATACTTGCCAAACAAAAAAACACACATTTCCAGAACTGTTCATATCCAGGAAAATATTTCTATCAATGTGTATAAATGTTTTAAAAATCTAGTTTCTGTATATGGTTTGTAATTGTATAAACTCTGTGATATAGACAGATTGACTAACAGACACATACATTGAGGCAGTCATTTTGTTTATTGCATTAGTGGTCATTTACTGCTGTGTCTTAAAATGCAAGTCTTTGTGTTGGCAACCCATGGAAAACATAGCACTCCCTATGTAGTGAATATCCTATTTTACTGTTAAACAGTGAGACTGTCTGAATGTAGTAACTAACCTACTATCCCTAATATAGTGTGTCCAATCTGAAAATCTATGTTTAACAATAATAAAAGCATGGAAGAGCACGTTCATCAGTTCACTGTTTAAGGTTAACTCTGCAATAATAACACAAAATATGTTCTAATAGGAAATGCTGTACTATTTCCCTTTGACACTGGATACAGTGAATTTGCTTTTGAATATTAGTAAGTCATACAAGATGTGTTTGCGCTTAAGGCGATATTGATGGTGTTGTATAATGTGTCATTTTGAATATTTTTTTTTTCTAGAAACATAGTGCAAACCTGAAAACCTTAAAGCCAGTGAAGCTTGATGTGGAGGTAAGTTAGCCAGCACTGACACAAGAGTGCTTTTATCTAATAAATAGTATTTCCTTATGGATTCAATGTACGAGTGATCTTTCAGGTATCTCCAAACATAGTTCTTTATGTGTTATTAGTTTTCAGTGTTCTGAATATTTGTGAACCAAATAGGACTATGCCAGGAAAAAACTTATACATCATTAGACAAAAGCATTGATCAGTAAAATAAACAGACATTTATAGGTACGAGTGATGGATGAATGTACCTGGGTTCAGTTTGCTGGACTTTGTTAAATTTGCCAATTGCAAATGTTAATGTGAACCCAATAATTGGAGGTGATTCTTAATAATCAGTTCGGGTGATTTTCAAATCAATGGGCATGGGGAGCTGGGTAATGCCCTGGGGGACATGTATGAATGCAAAAACGAAAAATGCAGTTTAGTGGGGGGCATGGAGGGTCCTATGGGTCCTATGGAGCCACCCTTGTGTGTGCCAGTAAATTGTGCGTCTCGACAAACACACAGGCACAGCAAGGCATAGCACTCCCCTGCTCCCCTCTCCTCCCTTCTACAAGCAGGCTTAAATTGAAATACTAAATATAAAAAAAAAAAATCCTTTAAATAGTATGCTTAGGGAATGCGGCAAACTTGCGTGTTTTAGGATGGGACTTCCAGATTTCTGTAAGTTCAGACCCTTAGCTAGGCATGCAGGCTGGCTGGCCAGGAAAGGGACGAGCAGTGAGCTTGTGGCCCCATCCTCCTGAACCATACCAGGCCATGACCTCAACATAGGGAAGGTACCTTGTCAGTGGCTCCTACAATTTCCCAAATTTCCCCCATATCAGTTTGTAATGTAGTAGATTTCTCTGACTTGAAAAACCCAGTGCTCGACTTCCAGAAAGGGTACTGTGTGGGTCTTCCATGCTCTAGCTTCTGTATATGGGTTACCAACATAATTTTGTTTGTGATGCATATTTCGGGTCTCTTATATAAAAGGGCTTTATAGGGATCTTTACAAAACTAACTTAGAATCTAAATATATTTTTTTCACTGCCGGTGTCCATGGCCGCATGTTGTGATGCGGAAGAGAAGGCAAGGTAAGTTTGTACCTGGTCAGACCATTAGTACACAGACATAGCAAAGGTTCACACTAAACACTGTTCACTAGAGTAGTAATATTAAGTTTAGTTTTTATGTTGCAGGATGCCTAGTAATGATGGCTGAGGTTTGCAAGAAGTCATAAAATACATATTTTAAATTCTTAAACCAAAGTCTGGTAAATGTTTTCTGGTCTTATTAACTATACACTAATCTAAGAATACAAATGTATTACTTCCAGGAGCAGGGCAAAATTGCAAAATTAGGATTGGAGCTGCGTTTGCTGACCTCAGATGTGGATGCAGAATCGGAAAAATGGGAAGATCAAGACAATGAACTGCTGAGACATGGACAGACCATGTCCAGTATGGCTTACACAATGTACCTGTTCACAAGGTATGCATTTTAATTTTACCATTTATTTTTATCATTTGTTACTTGGTTGTACTGGTATGGTTATTGACAGTGGGCAGTACTCCTGCTGAGAGCTAAGCCAAATGTTGAGGTTACCCATAAGAAACTGTTATTTTAACATACTGAGAACTATACCAACATTTGGCCAAATCCAGCTGGACTTTCCCCGAGGAAGGATTTTGTTTTTAAGAAAGCAGTAGTTAATTGATCAATTTTCTGAAAGATATGATTCATTTCAAAATGCTAGTTAAATGATCAGTTGCATTGTTGTGTGTATGACTATTGTATGGCATGAAACTGGCATAAGGCTGCCTACAGACTTGCACAACCTCACTGGTGAATAAGGTTTTCTAACAAAAGCTTGTTGTACAAACCAGCCTGTTTATACTGTGGGAAACGAGGGGGGCATAACATAGACTGAGTAAATGAGCTTTAGATGATCATTTCCAGTGTGTCAAAATCTTCCACCATAAAAATGTCTGTAGCCAAAAGTGATTCTGTCACTAACATAACACATTGTAGGTAAATATTTTTGTTTTTTATTCGTTTGTAATGTATCTCGGAACTCACTAGCAAATTTGACTACCTGCAAGAGTCAATTACCTAGCATAGTCGCCTCCCCTTGTAACTTCAGAAGGATCTCCTATTCTAAGAGTTTCTACTTACTATCTGTGCTGGCCCAACTCCCATGTCCTTCCTGTCACCTCCCGACATAACCTTTTATGTAGCTGCCGGGGGAAGAGTAAATGGGAATACTATAGAGTGTCATTTGAGTGAGGCTGCTGACATCACATCCAGAATTGCAGCGTGCAGCAGCAGTCTTATGACTTTTGACTGTCTATATGAGGGAGTTTTTTTACAGGTAACAATGCCTAAAATACTGTAAATGCACATACTGTATAATCTTTAAGGAAGATTGTTGTTGACATTAATCATCTGGCAACAGGGTCTATTAAAGTGACTCTATTGATACATGTGTAAACTAAACAGTCCCCTGCAAAGAAGACTTTTTATACTTTCCTCTCACACTGGCTGAAAAAGCCAACCGTTTTGGGAGTTTTGATTTCTTGCTGCCCCGCTGTGCTCTATGCTACAAGACATTGTCGTGACATAAGTGCTGGCAGACCAAACCACTCAGTGCAGCCAAGGACCAGAAATCCAACACGTTCCCGGAAGTTCACTACAACAGAAATCTGGAGAGCGAGCAGCAGGAGATGTAAGTAATAAATGTATTCTTTGCAGGGAACAATTTTATTTATACGTTAATTTTTTGGGCAGTGTTACTCTAAAAGAATAACACTACTAAAATGTATGAAAACTATCCTCGGCTGAAAAGCTCAATAATCACACCGCACAGAAAATAGTGAAAAGTAAAAGCTGTTAAGAAGATCACATCAAAAATAAACTTGACAGGAATAAATCATAGTAGCATTTTAACCCTGAATGATGAATTAAAAGAATTGTATGGCATATATATTGCCATGCATGGAAAAGTTGGTTTCAGTAGAGACGGTTCCCACCAATATGTTTCAATGTATTATAAAAAAAAGTCCCATATGCTGCATTTTGAATGCTTACATTAAAGAGTAATTGATCTCTGGAAGCTGTGCCCAGAAAGGCAGGCAAAGGGAAAAAAAGACTAGCCACCAGTATCTCCTATGGTCTCCCTGATATTTTTCCCATTACTGACTTACAATGCCTCATTCTGCACTGTCTCTCTGTGTGGAGGTGGCCATCTTGCTAGAACCAGGGCTTTTTGCTTCCTCATATCAGAGCCTCCAGCAAGAACAATGGAGAGCAGAAGAAGATTTCAGTTACCAAATCTCTTGAGACTAGCCTTCAAAGACAACAATACCTTTTATCTCACACTGCAGATATCTAGCTGAGGGCACGGCGGATATGAGGCTGTGGGCATAGGTGTGCCTAGGCTCCCTTACATAACAGGAACTGCACCACTGCTTTTTCAAAGAACATAGCATATCTTAACATTTTCATTTCAGATCCACTTCAGGCTGCTTTTTGCCATTCAAATCACAAGCAAACTCCTTACTTTTTCTGTGGCCAAAAACTATTCTTTGCTTTGGACACAATGTGGAAGGGTTAAGACACCTGTCAGGTTTTTTCAATTCTGTTTGTATCCCCATTAAGGAAATGTACCTTGCTATTTGTCCAGGTGACCAGTGTTTCTAATATGGTAGCTGATAGAAAATCCAAACTTTCATTACAGAAGGTAAGGAGAAATATCCCAATGAGAACACCTGTTCTTCGTTGTCGACAGAACAGGACAGCAGCTTTGGAGAGCTTCCCTCTTCTTAATTCCTGCTCTGTCTGGACAAGCAGTGAAGAGAAATATACATGACAGAATACAGATATCAATATAAAAAAACCTAGCAAGGGGCAAAACCACCTTCTACTCTGTCAAAAAAAAAAAGAATGTGCATACACTTTAGTACAGTGCATCTATGCAGTGTATTAAAGAAAACCTGTGATGTGCGAAACCTAGAGGATGGCATTTCTGAACTCTGTCCTTATAAGTCCGTTACTTTTAAACAAACATACAGATGAGGACTCATAACTTTCAAGATATGCATACTTAATCTTGATCAGGGAATAAAAAAATATTAAGGCCAGTGGACCCCTTCAGTCAAGCAACAGGCATCTTTAAGAACAGGGTCAGTAATAGAAATCCATACTTATTTCATGATGGGTTTATTTAATGCAGACATTTCTTGTATGAAGCCAGCCCTAGGCTGACTGATGACATTTTATATTTTATTCCTCCCTCTGCAGGGGTGAAGGTTTGTTGAAGACTACCCAAGACTTATTTCATCAAGCAGAGGTATGCCAGTACAACTGTTTTTTTTTCTTTTTTTATATATAAAATCTTGCTATCAAAGCTGCAAGGTTGGTGATCATGCTGAATAGTCTGAGAGTTCCTTGTAACTATGCTTTTGGATCTGTCTTACAAATAATTTTTTTAATTTTCAGCTGAATGTTGGAAAGCACAGAATATGAAGATAAACATGTGTGTATTTGTCCTTGACATTATGTTTATGCATTCTGACCGAGTAGAAAGAGGAGGCGTGTTGGATGCTCACTAGTCTCAAAGAAGAAATCTCAGTATTACTTTTCACTGATCAGTCGCCTAACTCTCACAGTACATGTTGCTTTTAATCCCATGCGTCTGTGCGCAGTAAACAATTAGATACAGACTGACAGCTCACCCCTCTTCAATCCCCACCACACAATGCAAAGGAGATGGCCTCACTGTCCCCACAATTTCCAGACACAAGGGAGGTCACAAGTTTACAGAGGGAGAGGGCACACTCACAAGAATCCACACAGGCACTAGAACTGAAGAGGATTGAACTGTCAGTCTGTATCTCAGTTTCTACTCCACATAGAAACATGGGATAACAACAACATACCCTGTAATGCAAGTGCTTCTGCACCGAACCCCCTGATTCTAAAGCTGCCAACACTATAAGTAATATATACTCCTAAACAATGAATTATCCAGAAATGTGTGGTGCTTCTGACTTCTCCTCTCTCATATATTCCACCACATAGAAACTGTCATGTGCAATAAATTATAACATGCACATCAGCATTCCCAAACAATTGTATCAAGTGTAGCAACAATCAATACCTTTATCGTAAATTCCTATAGGTTTACCTATTACATCCAAAGTGCCATGTGCAATCATTAAAAAGTGCATAAGATCCTTTTGCATAAATATGTATTTTTAAAGTGCAGTACATAGAAACACTTTATCTTTGGTATGATAGCAAAACAAAGAGTGCCTTCCCTTGTATGGTGACACTTTTTTTTAGTAAAGGACTAGAAACAAAATCATATTTACAAAACTTGCGAAGAAAAAGCCTGGAAAATGTATACACATCAAAGGTTAAAGAGCAACTGATGTAACCATAATCCACATTTGTCACAATGGGCTGAAATGTGTGTAGATCTCCAGTTACAAAGAAGTTGATCACGCAGAACACTCAGCCCTAAGGCTAACGCATTTCCGGGACTGAAGCCCCCTCCCCAAAGCCCCAGAACTTTATAAGTGGTAGAATATATAAGAGAGAGACGTAACAAGTGCCTTGTGCAGACTTCTGGGAAAATCACTCAGCCAATCCCAGAAGCGGGAAGAGACATTCACCAACTGTGTTGTCATATTGCATTACATTTTTTGAGAGTTTTAGAACATTACAGCTGTTTTACATTACAACATTTATATCGAAAGGTAATTTTTAATAACATTAGATTACAAAATGGCTTGTGCAACAATTACATATGCTATATTCATTTTATTTTTTTTATAATTATATATTTTTAATTTTTATATTTTTAAAGTGGAGTTGGGTGCGGATTGCCAACCTACTACACAGTTGCATTTTAAAGAACTTTCACTCTGATGGGCAGGCCTATTAAAGACAGATTGCCTTGATAGTACCATTAGGGTGACTCCATTCGTATAGAATCACTGTGCTATTTTAAATATGTAAGATTGCGCTGTTACAGATTGTTTTGTGAGAAAGAGACTGCCCTGTGACAGACTGCTACCTGAGGAGGATATGTATTAGGGTTAATATATACTCTGCTGTACACTGCTGCTTAGCAGGGTTTTGCTCCTTGTTTCACATTCCTTTGACTATAAAAAGGAATAAAAGCAGTGTTTCTCATTTCTCATCTCAGGCTGAATCCGATTAAAGGAGAACTATGAGGTGAGTGCTTTTCACTCACCTCATAGTTCTAGCCGACCTGTGACAATGAGACTGTCACAGGTCGGCTCATTAGATTGAGATGTGAGCGAACACATACCGGCGTTCGCTCACCTCTCGATCCTGTCACGGCTCTCTGCCGTGACAGGGGAGGGGCTGGATCCCCCGCTCCGATCCGCCAGCGCTGACTGGGCTGGGCGGATCCAGACATAATTGTCAGGATCCGCTTCAGCTGCCGCGTCTCAGTATACTGCGAGCTGTAGCTTGCGGTATACTTAGCTTAGGGTGACGGGAGGACGCTAGTTTGTGTCCTCCCGTTACCCTAAGGTGAACTATGGGGAAAAGCCTTAACCCCACAGTTCTCCTTTTTAATATTGAAACCAACTTGCATCATAACTGCAATCAGCCAGGAGTAATGTTTGGTGTTTACAGAGTAAAAATTTAAAAGAAAATATATGTAAATAAACAAAAAATAATTGTTGTTTTAATCAATAGAGTAATTTGCCATGTGTATACAAAGTGGTAGATAAAGGCGATTTTAGAATGCCTGTGTGCTGAAAACGTTTATAATCATTTATTTTTTATTTTTTAGAGAAGGTAGTCTGTGCATATCAGAGTATTGGACCTCGCCACAAAATAGCAATTCAGTGAAACTAGAAAAAGAGACCTGGAAACCTTATTTAAATAGTGACTAGGGTTATTTGAAATTAAAGGATGAGACAAAAGTGACTAAACTTTCAGTACAAAACTGGGTGCCTGTGTGTGTGTATGAAGATATACTGTACAAACGTTTAAAGGAGAACTATGAGGCGAATGAAAATCACTCATCCTCATAGTTCGAGCTGACGTGCGACAATGAAACTGTCACATGTCGGCTCAATAGATCGGGAAGTGAGCGAACACATACCGTCGCTCGCTCACTTCTCGATCATCTTCCTGCAGAGAGTGGTGACTATCAGTTGAACTTATCATTATTAATGTTGTGGATTTAGGGCTAGTTCACACCAACCACAGTGCGTTCCGGCCGCACTGTGGTTGGTGCAGCATTTTTTCTGACCAGACCGCAGGCATTGCAACTGATTAGATGCCTCCCTGATGGTGTTACATTGATAAGTATCTGCCTGCACTTTTCAGCATTAAGTAGACCATTAATTTTGATCAGATCTCCAACTTGATGTGCAGGAAAGGTAGCTCCAAAACTGCAAGGAACCTCCACTCTGCTTCACTGTTGCGTGCAGACACTCATCCTTGTACTGCTCTCCAGGCCTTCTGCGAACAAACTGCCTTGTTACAGCCAAATATTTCATTATTGGACCCATCATTACAGAGTACCTGCTGCATTTTTTCTGTGCACCAGTGCTTGTGGTTTTTGTGCAAATGCGAGCTGCTTTGCCTGTTTTTTACATCGGAGGTATGGCTGTAGGTAGTTGTGCCAGGGTCCCACTGATTTCAGACAAATTTGAGCTAATGGTACCACTAGACATTTTCAGAATATGAAGAGAAGTCAGCATGGTGTGTCTTTCATCTGCTGCACTAACGGGGTTATTCACAAAAGGGTGAAGAGTTTGGAGAAGGTAGGAGAAGTGAACAATCTAGGACAACATAGCTGATTTTGAAATATTCTCCAGTTCAGCTATGTTGTCCTAGATTGTTCACTTCTCCTGCCTTCTCCAATCTCTTCACCCTTTTGTGAATAACCCTGTATGTTTTCTTGGCTGACCACTGCATTTTCGGTCCTCAACATTTTCGGTCTTTTGCTCACACAGGGCTTGGCGAACAAATTGCCTGGGAGCTAAGTGGCGTAAAAAATTTGGATTTGAACTGTTTGGGATATATTGAGTGCTTGATTTTTTGAATACTTGCCACAGGCGGTGATTTCAGCAAATAATGTGGAATTGTTCAAGAAACTTTTGGACGATTTCTTAAGGGACCGTAATATACAGGGGTACGGGTACTCCTAGAATGAGATCCTAATAGGTTGGACTTGATGGACTAATGTCTTTATTCAACCTCAAATACTATGTAACTATGTAACATTGCCTGTTTTTTTGGGCGGCTTCTGCAGAACAGCTTTGACTGAATGATGAATGAAAGATTTTATTGCTGCAGTAAGACCACCCTGTGTCTTGTTGCAGCCTGCAGGAAGCGTTGTTGATGCAGTAAGACTGCCCTGCATCTTGTTGCTGTGTTCAGTCTTGCAGTTGTATCTAAGACTTTTTTCTTTTTTTTTTTTTTTTTACATTAAACAGTCTTCAGATTCCTCACCTTTGTTAGTAGACTATGAATTTTCCGCACCCAGTTTCAATCCTCTTGCACAGCTATGTGTGATTTAATGGTTGTATTTTATTCTACATGTAATCTTATTAATCATTGGCTCTGTTTGGTATAATTGTTTAATCATACCCTGGACCATATGCCTGCAAAATCCTTTAGCCCTGGTTCACACCTAGGCGTATTGCATATGCACGTCTGTCACGCGTTTTTTTTACCGCGATTTCCGAGGGCTACTTGGCTGTATCCCAATGGAAACGCGCAACAAAAACGGCCCAAAGTAGTACATGTACCTTTTCAGGCGTGGGCCGTTTTGTAGCGCGTTAGGGACGGGCTGAAATACGCCAAGGTGTGAACCAGACCCATTGAATACAATGGTATTTAGATGTTTGAGCGTTTTGTAGAGCGTTCGTCGAGCGTAGAACGCGCTACAAAACGTTCAGGTGTGAACGAGGGCTAACTGTGTGCACAAGTGTACCTGGGAGAATTGATGCTGCTTTGAAGGCAAAGAGTGGACATGCCAAACACAAATTTGATTTGTTTATTTATTACATAATTACATAGTATTTGAGGTTGAATAAAGACACAGGTCCATCAAGTTCAACCCATTGCGTGTATGTGATTCTGCATGTGAATGTGTGTACGAGTCCCTGTGTGATCTTGTTTTTAAGTGTACCTGTACCCCTGTATGTTCTCTGAGGAAGTTGTCTAAATGCTTTTTGAATGATTCAATACTCTCTGCTGATACCACTGCTTGTGGCAGCGAGTTCCGGACTTTAACCGCTTTAACTGAGAATAAGCCCCCCTTGTGGTTAAATCTTTTCGCCACCAATTTTAGGTTGTGGCCTCTAGTCTTTGTTATGGAGTTTGCTGTAAAAAGTTTATTGCTGATAGCAACTATCACCTTTGAACATCTTGTACATCAAAATCATGTCCCCTCTTAATCTCCTCACTTCCAGCGTGAACATGTTTAAAATTAGTAACCTTGTCTCATAGCTTTGGTCCTCCTTCCCCTTAATTAGTTTAGTTTGTTAATTTTTAATTTAATTATTTTTGAAAACATCCTAAGTTTACAGCATTTTTTTCATAAGTACCTAAGACGTTTGCACGGTACTGTGTATAATTATACTTTTTTTTTTGATCCTGCATATTTCAACACATTACCAATTATTTTATCTTTTTCTTAGGTGTTTGCCGCAGCCGGTATAAAGCTTTCATCCATTCTTCATACGTTTTCAAACCAGGTAACTCTTAAGCAATTATTTTCTAATTAGCAAATTTTCTTTGAATAGATCATTCTGAATGGTGATGGTAATGGAAAAAAAAGCATAAGTTTGCCTGTTGGGGCACAGAACAGATCAGAGTAGAAGTGAATAGAGGCAGTAGACAATAGTGGGGAATTTGCTCCATCATATTAAAGTCAATGCTGTTTATTGACTGAGATAACACACATCTCCTTAGCGACGTTTCGAGACCATGCGGCCCCGTCCTCAGGCACACAGAGAATGAGTCAAGCCACAAAATCAAACAATAAATACAGGTGAAACAAAATCAAACCACCATTCACAATGCTGTTAATACCTCCTCCTCTGACGTCCTAACGACGTGATTCACACCATGCTGCCCAGGTGCAATTAGCTATATGCTGAACACATGATACAGATGCATACTGGTAAAATACCTCGTCCGTAGTGGTGATCTTGCATGGCCTGAGATCTACCTGCTTTTTTCCGATCCGTGTCATCCATGGATCCGAGTTGCATCCTGCTGGCTGCTCATGTCTAGGGGACCAGCTCTCACGGTGTAGCGCAGTGTGTTGTCTGCGCGTATATATTACCAAAGATCATTGTGCCGTCCGTCAGTCAATGAGTGTCAGGAACCCGGATCAGGTGACCGATCGGTTGTTAGGTAACCGGGCAACGCTTGTCACTTGCGGAAAATTAAAAGTTGAAAATTTTTTTATTAAACAATGCAGCGAAATATATGACATACAACTTCAATCTGATGCCTGTTGGAAAAATGTAACAACCGTCCTGGTACATTGTATCGAGCAACCAGAAAGTTCATGGCATCTTATATACTCAGTGTTCCACTTAGCTAAAGATAGAAAAGCGTAATGAATAATGAATAAGACAGGGGGGGATATATTTATACACAGTGTCTTGCAGTATAGTTGTACTCAAAGTGGTGTAGTTGAAGGGATACTGTTCCCATGTTTATGAAAGAACTTTGATTATATAGCAGGTCAAAGTATGTGATAGATCACCCTCTTATCTATAAGGAGAGCTCTTTAACATGCAATCCTAAGATTGATAGCATTTCTGAATGAGTGCAGTTCCAACCATGGTGAGTCCCTCCTCTACACTTTGTCAATTCCTTGACAACTGTGTTGTTTAAAAAAAATCCCACCATGGGTGACAGGTGTATAAAGAGGAGGTTCAACTGACCACCTCCAAAAATGTGCATGGTCCAAGCTATCATAAATCCATGGACCAAATTAAAATCAGCAGGAGCAAGTAGCCTTTAAAATATAAGGAAAGATTTAGAAATAAATGTCAACTCATGAAGTTGAAGGACACCAATAAATTATGTGATTCATGGATGTCTAAAAGACATCTATCTATCAGAAAAAAAGCAGGTGTATGAAGAACCGGAATTTAACCCTCGAGGTATAATTGTATCGAGGGTGTGAATCCAGAATGCTTCCCTGCGTAAAAGTTGTAATTCCCTATTGCCCCCTCTCTGGTCGATCTGTATATGTTCAATGTCCATTCCCCACAGTTCATGTGTCTGGTGCCTGTTCTCCACAAAATGAACAGCAACCGGCTTGTTCCTGTCAAAATCCTCGCCAGACTCTACTTTTTTAAAGGCGATCCTGATGTCACTGCGGTGTTTTTGGAATCTTTTTTTTGAAGGGACTTATATAAATAAGTGAACACGGGCATTTGAGAATATATACCACAAACTCTGTGTTTCAATTAAGATATCCATCAATCCTGTAATTATTACCGTTTTGGGGGTGTATACATTTTCCACCCTCAATGGTTGCATTGCATATGTTGCAATTGTAGCATTTGAAAAAAAACTGATTTGCTGGATATCTTCCATGTTTGTGTGGCATATTTCTCTTTGGAGTCAGCCTGGATTAGATGATCCCGCAGAGCCTGAGGACGGGGCCGCATGGTCTCGAAACGTCGCTAAGGAGATGTGTGTTATCTCAGTCAATAAACAGCATTGACTTTAATATCATGGAGTGCGAGTGACTACTTTCATCTATCTGAAATCTTAATAGGGCATCTTTTTAATTTGCGTATTGGTTCAGTTGTATTTTCTGTTCTTTTAGATGTACAAGCACTTAACTCATAGCACCTAGTTGCAATCAATCTTACATGATTGTACAATGATTAATTAATGTACGGTTAATTGCTTTAAGATCCGGAAACAATCAGGTCTGGAGATTATCTGGATGTGGTGTGAATGGCCAGAAGCAGTTTTCTATCGCACTACAATATAGTGTAATCCTTGAATGTATTGATATGTATGCATCCCTTAGTAGGTGTTAATTTGTGTTCACTTTCCTGAGCTGCTTTGATAACTTTAACATTTTGTTATTTTTTGTCCAAGCTTGAAGATGATGACAAACCTTTACTCCTCCTGGAAATTGAGAAGCTTGTTCCACTAAGCCAGCAGGTTCAGGTCACTTCAAGGACTCCAGTGCAGGGTAAAACTGCCACCTTTACCAAGGTACTCAACCTTTCAAATAGGCAGATGATTGCACTGCTCGCTATCTTAGTGATCGTGTGTGTGTGTATATGTGCGTATATGTATATATATTAGAGGTGCACCGAAATGGAAATTTCAAAACCAAAATAAAAAAAAGTTTCAGGCCAAAACCGAAAAAAAAATTATTTACATTTTTTCAATTTTTTACAAATATTTTATTTTTTTATAAACTTTTAATTTTTATTCATTTTTTATTGAATATTTTTTTTTTTTACTTTTACGGGCTTTGGGGAAATATCTAGGGGTCTAAAAGATATTTATCTTTTCAAAATATAAAAAGAGATTAAGGGGCACAAAGTCCTCAATCTCTTTTTCTGCAGCCCTTGTTATCAACGAACAGGAATCCTCTATACTGAGTGTTCCTGTTCATTGATAACATAAGGACAGAGTATGTTAACTATAACCACAACTATGAATGAACAGGAGGTGATGTAGATCACTTCCCATTCATTCATAATTGAGGATATAGTCAACATGCTATGTCCTCAAATATGTACAGTGTTTGCACTCGCTCTCCTTCCTGACAGCTGTCACAAAAGGCTGGGCGGGGCAGGGAGGAGAACTCAGCCTCCTGTGACAGCGTGGGCTAGCACACATTATTTATATGTTATTTGGGAAGACATGGATTTGTGGAGGAGTTTCTATTCAAATTCTACATCATAGTAAGTTGAAAGTGTAGTGTCTTCATTTCATAAAAATAGAGCTGCCCAGACGTGCCGGCAGCATTAGTAGGTATTTGCATTGTTGTAGTGTAAAGTGTAGTTTGCAGATGTCATACTGATTTGTAAAGCAACATTGTGGACTGTAATGTTATTATATATTTACAGGTTGATAAGTGTATTCTGAAATCAAAGGCAATCATGATGATATTATCCCAAGTTCTTCCAATCTGCTGCAAACTGCTACGTAAGGTGAGGTGCCGTTCAGTGCTACAAGCTATTACTCCCAATGAATATACACATCTGAGTAGTGTGTTTCCCATTACTAATTGCCCTAAACTTTTAAAATGCAGGGTGCAAATACAACTGCCAGCCTGTAATGTTGGGAATGTACTATGTACCAATGAGGGATAACATAAACCAGTGATGTAAACACTTTTTTAAGCCAAAGGCCTCCTGACTGGCCATTGCCGTAAAATGGTTATTCTGAGTGGATGTTAAAAAAACATCCTAGTGTTTACCATTGGCAAACATGTGTCATTAGACTAAAGAGATCATAGGCTAAAGGCACAGAACCAGTAGGAGTGGATGTGAGCCTTGTGATCGCTGTGATGGCCAGTCACAACCAACACAATTGTAAAGAAGTACTACTATTTACATTTAAGAGCTCTCCCCTTCCTCTTACAGCTGGGGAGGATTGAGGATTGTAGTCTGGTGAAAGAAGAAGAGAGGCTGCAGCAAGAGGAAAGGCTTGCGATTTAAGGTGGGGTGTAGAGGCCACTTGCCACCAATGTGGCATTGTGGGCCACCTTTATTTTTTGGGGGAGGGGTTAAAATGCCTGCCTTTGACAGCGTACAAGTCTTAGCAGCTAGTAACTAGGTCTGAGCACTGCAAGCAACAGAATGGAAACCAGTGATGGCAGGAGCAGGGTTGCATCACTGCTAACATGAGCATAACTGGTGGGGAGCCTTTAAAAAATACATGACAGCTTTTCCCTAAATGGGCAATGTGAATGGCTCGCTTTAAAGCTGAACTTAAGGCAGATTAAAAATACAGCTTTAAATGCAGTGGGTGTAGGTACTCCAATTTGACTTGGGATCGACCTTTTGAAATCCCCTTTCATGAAAGCAGCCAATTGGTTGTGCTGCAGTGTACATGTCAACAAGGAGCATGCCCACAGGAGGAGAGAGAAGAGTGACAGATTATAAGTCTACTCCAGGGGGAGGCTTGATTGGCAGTCTAGCTGGGGTGAAATTACAAATGAGGCATTGTAAGACTTTAATAGCCACAGGTAAGTCTCCCAGAGACGGAGGCATGATGGGCTATGGTGTTTTTCACTAAAGCTGGAGTGTGGAGTTTGACTACCCCTGCTCTACTGCTTCTTTCACTCTTCAATAAGGGTCACAAGGCCAACCACTCACACCCCCCACTCCATGGGTCAAATACTTGTTTTGTCTAGAGGGATAGGGATATGCAGTAATGCCTTATTCTGTACTTCCTCAGTCCCACAAAGCCACTTCTATCTGCTGCTCTGCCAGCTGCAGCCTCTCTGATGTCAATGCGGTGGGTCAGCATTGTACATAAGCACTGCGGTGGGCAGATGAATAAAGCTATGTATATTCCTGAAACTATGATATGGTAATGGTACTAGATGAATGAGTTGGCAAGGTCTGACCAGTTGAAAGTAGTTTTTACATAGCATTATGGTTCACTTATAAAGTGTGGCTAGAAAACAATCCTTCCATACAAATTCTTCCAATTAACCACATTTATTTTTACAGTGTAAAGCAGGCAGTGGATGTTATCGAACTACTCCGGCATGGAGAGAAAACCGGCTTCAGAATGTTGCTAATGAAGATGGTCTAGAAGGGAAATCAGTAGAAGCTTTTGGAGTGAAGTCTTTGGAGCACCATGTAGCTAATCTAACGTTTTTAGAAAGCAAATAGCAAGGCAACATGCACAATGAAAGGGCCATATGTTTGACACAAGCAGTTTCCTAAAACACTTCTGTGGCAGCAGAACCACATTACTGAACTCAGTGTGAAGTTTATTATTTTGTGTTTTACTCCTCTTATTGGTACCATTGTACTTTATTCATATTTGCAATGTCAGGTTGTAATAAGTCTTTATTAAATGTGAATGTTTGCATTTTACTCTTACCCATCACATGGTTTTAAGTGTTATCAGAAACTGTTGTGAATGTCTTAATGGAAACCTTAACCCAAAGATGCTGCTATGGTTTGTATATGTGTAATATGCAGAAACAAAACGCAATTCTCATCCTTTAAATTTGCAGTGTTAAAAATCTTGCTGTCAACATTTCCTCATCTTTGCTTGTTTCCCCCCAATTGTACTGTACTCGTTTACCTGTATCAGGGCAATGTTCTGTGGTCTGAAGCACTGATCAGCTCATGTCTTAAGGGCTGGTGTTATGTCCTATTCACGACAAGGAAAAAAAAAAAACAGCACACTTTATCCACAACTACAGCCTGCACCTTGACCGTTTTGAATTAAAGAGTTTTATTGTAAAATTGCTGCTGGATTCTTTAACTTTGTTGAAGATTTTCTCAGAGAACTATTTTCTGATTCAGTCTGATTATGCATAGATCTTGGTCTGAAGATGGCTGTTCAGGCTTTTAGCTGCTTTGGGTTGGCAGCTGGAGGGTACCCCAAGGTTTATGTTGTAACCCTTGTAGACTTGCTAAGCTCACCCTTTGAAATCTTGTAGGATTTGAGATGCATGTCAAAAATGTATCTTTTCTCAGAATGTACACCATATTTAAGTTTCATGAAATTGTAGTTTTTTTTACATTAACATTTACAATGTAAGATTCTATTTTTAAAATAAAATTCTAATGAACCTTTCATTCGAGTGTGCTATTCTTCTTGTACAGTAGATTCTGCAGCTATATAATACATATAGAGTTAAATGAATACTCATTTAAAATTAACAGAGATATATGCAAGCTGATATTGCTGACACCATCTTCTGAAAATTCCAGTTGTCGGGCCACAGTGCTGATCCGATGGCTTCATTACTTTCTAATAAGTGCTTCACAATGGATAAGTGGGGGTGACTGGCATAGAGGTTTCATCTATACACACAGTATAAATTGTTGTATGTGCACCCGGAGCTTCTAATGCAAAAATTCATGTATTTCAACATAAATGAATATACAATTCACAAGACATACCCAAGTCCAGAAAAGGTTTGTGCATATGTAGAGATCAGGGCAAGGTACATGGGAGTGTGTGTACACACTATATTTTACCTATAGCATTCGCTTCAATCTACATGGGTAACAGACAAATAAGCAGTTAACAAGCCAGAGCCCACAACTGTTTCAGGTTATACAGTATATAACCTTGTTCGCCCGAGAGTTCTTGTGCTGTCTGCTAGCCCTTTCTTTTCACTATATTGGAATGTGCATTGTACAAAGGAACAATTGTTGCTTTATATCCGTTCGTTGTTACGGAATGTTCTGTAATGTGCCTATTAACAATGTGTCATTTTTTTGGTATGATGGTATACAGCGTCTCTAAAATTATATATATATA